AGAGCCAATAAAAATTAACCTAGAAATGAAATGTCAAAATTTCTTTCCTTTCTTAAAAAAACAATTTAACGTTAATGCGTTACAATAACCATTTACCTATTTAGGACTTTGGTAACGTGATTTCAAGGTTAACCAAGGGTATAACCGAAGTGTTCTCTGGATCATCGCTTTAAAACGGTTATAGTTAATTTTGTCAATTTTGACGTAAATATATTTTGTTAAGTATTGAGAGAACCGTGTATCCTAAATTAACAAGGTTGTATTAAATAATAGAAACATATTTGACAATTTATTTATATTTTGTTTTCCTCTACGAGGTGTAATCAAAAGTAAAGTGAGTTACATTATCTAATCTGGCGTAGCACATTGCGGACAGTGTATGCGTTTAATTTGGGATTACTGATGTCAGTTTTCTAGGGGCACCGTACCATGGTTGGTGCGGGCTAGTGATATTGCGGTCAATGTGCTAGTAATGGCCCGATTTGTATATCGATCGATAGTTTAAGCATTGCGGTCAGTGTCAACATAATGAAGAATTTAACGTCGTTGTAATTATAGACAATAACGTTATATATTTTTTATATCAATATTTTGATATGAAGAGTTATCAATATAATTTTCTTGTTAATTAGAAGGATAATAAGTATTTTGCTTACAAATATCACCGTTTCATAACTTTCTTTAATATAAAACTGCTTTTGGTAAACTTGATTGCTCATAATTGTTTTTCTTTTTGTTTCAGGTACTCCATCTCATACGTGCATTAATTAAGTATTTTATCTATTTTATTTTACTATTATTTTATTTACGTTTTATTATTTTTAATCATTTAGTACTTATTTACTAACTAAGTTTATTTTGTTTTAAATTTAAAATTAGTAAATACTTTATTGAATTAATTTCTGACATTGATTAAATAACTAAATATTTTGGCCCAAGTTTACAGTAGATATTTTTAAATTACAAATATATTCCTACAGGATGTAGAGAAGAAAAAAAAGCATACTGATTTTTTTAGAAATTTTGTTAAAATCTGATTTTGCCCTAACTAATTTGGTTCTGATATTTGGCACACTTTGTATATTTTGGCGGTAGCTCTTTGTGTCTGTTACGATAATTAGATACTATTTGTGTGGCACCTTGCATTTTTGTCAATGTTTGTCACATAAAATGAGAGTTCTTCCCCTAGGACGTTACTTGGGGTAGATCTTAATCACATAAAATATCGGAAAACAATTACTCCTTTGGCTAATACCGCAACAGGTATTGAATTATATCCTAAGGAAAGAGCAGAGAAAAAAATAATAAGGTAGAGGGTTGAAATTACTGTGACGGTAGTCTAATTTAGTTAAACTTTATTTATTTATAACACACTATTTACAATTTATTTATTACTTACTATTTAATTTATATAATACTTACGACACTAACTAACAATTCTAATGTATTTATTACACTTTAATTTTTCATTACAATGTTTTATACTAAACTAAACTGTGCGCCGATAAGTCGGCTATTTATACCAAGCCAATTCTGTGCTTGTAGTTTTTAGTAGACGTTCCCGAAAATTCCATCTCTATGAATCAACGGCAGTTTCTTGAAGCGTCAGCGGCATACCTACAGATTCCGTCGTTTCTTGTATATTCGAGACGCGGTCCGACTGTCTTCACACGTCAGCGTTGCTTCGATCATGAATCGAGTGGCGGACTTCCAAGGTCGCTCGCTTTAAAGTTTAGACAGAGATGGCTTAGGAATTTTCATGACATTACCCCCTTTTTAAGAAATAGTTCCTCCTGGAACTAAAACTGAATGGTTGTATTTGCAACCGGATCCTCTTTTAGAAATTCCAGTTGCATGGAAGTAACAAGGGACAGTCTTCGCTATAACCTGAACGGTGGGAGAATGGCTGCAGACCAGTATTTCAACCTGGGTATCTTGAAAGATTACTTCCACCATGTTTCTAATGATCCTCCAATTCAGAAGGTTGCTTTCCATTTTTGGCATAGCTAATTTTTGTACATTGGACTCCAGTAGAAAAGATAACGCGATCCATCTTGAAGTTTTAATGCTTTTCCAAGGGCTGGTAACTGATCTTGAAGTCCTGACAATCGACCAAACTTCTTCCGGATTACAGATGCCAGACCTCGAGCGTCGTAGATGTTGGCGGAAGTGCTATGGACCAGCGAGTAATCTTTAGGAACCGTGAGAAGGTCTTGTTGTTGTTCGGTTGTAACACCATATCTTGCTTTTCCGGTACCTCCATATGCACCCTTTGAAGCTTTGGAGAATAACCCTTTTGTATTTTTGGGTTATGGAGCCGGACTTTGTCGCCTTCCTTGAAACATCCTTCTGGGGCTTGGGTATCGTATCGCTTCTTCATTCTGTCACTGGCGATTTGAAGATGCGAGCGGACCAATTCATATATATCGTCCATTCTTCTTCGTTACTGGATCACATAATCTTCAGCAGCTACATCTTCTCCAGGTCGGCATCCAAACTCGAGGTCGCACGGTAGTCTCATCTCACGCCTAAACAGGACCCTTGCTGGTGTTTGGCCTGTTGATTCATTGACAGCGGGTCTATAAGCCATTGCAAAGAGCGAAAGATACTGATCCCAATCTCGCTGATGGTTTGAAACCACTTTTGACAGATTGTTACAATCACCAAATGTTCCGTCCTTTTGGTGGTTTTCTTGCAGGTAAATAAAGGTAAATAAACTCTTCCCACTTGATAAAACATTTATTTTATAAGTAAGGTAACATTGTATAAAGGAATATTGTCTCCACAGGAAAAAGTACTCCTAAATCTCCTTCGTTTCTAGTCTTTTCGTTTTAATTTCCTGAAATAAATTAAATATAGTATTAGTCGATCACAACAACATAGTTAAGTCAGGTTAGCAAACAAAATATGACGGCTGTCGAATATTCTTCTCGGTTAGGAGGTGGTCCTAAATGGCTTAAGGTTTCGGCGACCCTGAAGATTGAGACCTTGGCTGTCAGTTTATAACATATTTAGGCAAGAAGAAGAAGAACTTTCTTTGCGGGAATCGCCTCCATTTTGCCTAACGGTTTCCGGTTTTTTCTGATTTGAATTGAAGAAAAAAACTGTCCTTAGATCTTGGTTCTCGTGAGTTGCACGTATCGGTTTTCCGGATTTTTACAAGTATAAGGAAATAGATCTTGTCAAAAGTAATTATTAGTAGACCTAGGGATCTATTTATCGCAAATTGTGGATTTTCTTTTGACTATATTAGTTTACACTTTGAGGCCCCATTACATCAGTGGTAAGTGCCCCGCTTAATGCCCACAGTACGCTTTAGGTATGAATTTTACTCACCTGCCTTTATTATTTTAGGCCTCCTTCCTTTGAGCTTGAATATAACGCCATATCATCCTAGTTTAGGGTTTTCATAACCGCCCTTCTTTTCTCGTCCTTGCTAGCAGCATAAGGGTTGTACCAGTCAAGTTTCTACCATCTCGTCGGCGCGGAATCTTGCTGAGGCTATCTACAACAGAGAATAAGGAACCACTAATAACTGAATACAAATATAAAAGGGGTGTACTTACCGAGGGTAGGTTCCACCCTGAAACAGCTCCTACCATAAACGAGAGCATCGCAGGAAAGACAAGTAAGCTCTTTCCATATCCTTTGAGACATAAGTGATTGTTCACGAAAAACCTTTTCGAACACAGTTTCAAATCATTTGAACTTTAGTTATAGTTTTAAGGTTCGGTTCCGAAACTCCCCTCGAACGTTAAATTTTAATTAAATATAGGATTGATTGACTTTTGGAGATAAACCATATCGATATTCAGTTTTGAATTATTCACTCAAAATAAAAATCACTTGTCTATCACGTATAATAACATTTACTATAGCTTAGTTTCATTCACTAGTTTCGAAGGCGATTGATCGCGAAGAAACACCAAATGTTTAGTTGTAAGACATTTTAATTGTAAACAATCTGTATATATACATATTGGAGCGGTAAGACCGCACCTTATTAATTTTGTAACACTTTGTGGCATAACCATTTAAAAACAAGCCACCCTAACGCCACTATTATAACATCCGTTGTTAACACCCCAAAATCAATACACTACTTCAAGTACACGCTGCAGTTTTATTAATTTCATCAAGTCATCAGACAAATTCTTAGGGAACCCTCGAGATTACCGTTTAATTATCCACCAAGGATAGTAAAAGGGTATCAAGATATTTTCCAATGGTCTTATTCATTCTCTCTACTATTCCATCGGATTGTGGGTGCAATGCTGTAGTTCTGGTTTTCTTCATGCTGTCTGTCACAGATTCCACGGAAGAGTTGGCTTTCAAAAATTCTGCCTTGGTCACTGTGGATCTCCAAGGGCACTATAAATCGGCAGATAAACTCGTGTATCAACACGTCTGTAACAGTTGCGGCCTCTTGATTTGGAATGGCGTAGACTTCCACCAACTTCGTGAAATAATCCATAACCACCATCATTTATTTATTACCATTTTCGGTCATGGGGAATGGTCCAGCAATATCTACGTTGAAAAATAGAAATACATTTTTTTGAAAAACTTGCCTCTTGCTTTCTAACACAGTTACTTTTTGATTTAACCTCGTACGTTGATGAATTTCAGCCAAACCCGAAAACTTGTACGACGCACATGCTTGCGATTTTTTCACACACACTGGCAAACATCAACGCGCAAGCATATATAACATACATGTATGGCGCACATGTATGCCAGTCTGTGGACACCTTTATGCGCATGATCTACGACATACTATTTTCTCCTTATGGTTTCATTTTTGATATATACAATTGGCTTTCTATACTATTTCTATGATCACTATTTACAATTTTTAACATTATTAAACGTTTTAAAGTTATCTTACTACGTTTTTTGGTGGAACAATTTATAAGACTTTGGAAGTATTTTGTATTTTATTATGCTAATTTTGAGTAGTTTTATCTGCTGTATTTGCCAATCCAAATAAAAACATAAAATACTTCAATTAATTTATTTTAATAAACAGAAGGGTTAATACAATATATTTCGTATAGCAAATATTAGATTGAAAAAAAAGCAACTATTCTAAAAGCACTACATTTTACTATAACCCATGTTTAATTTTACAAGTTAACATGAACAGACGACAACTTTTGTCCAATTCTCTGTCCCAAAGTTCCGTCGACATTTTTGAAAACCTTCAAGGCTGCTTTCTGTATATCCGGATTGGCTTTCGATAGAGCCCCGGCGACGTTGTCGACTAACCTCTGCTTAGCCGGCTCGTCTAAAACTTTGTTCCAAAATACTCTCGGCTGGGTGTAATTGTCATCGTCACGCAAATCGTAGTAATCCACTTTGCTGTCGACAGATTCGGGGGGATTCACCCAGCTTTCAGCTTCCGGATTCACTTCGGGCCCTCCGAAGCTGTTGGGGTGGTAATTGGGAGCACCGTTTTGGTTGTACAGTACCGATTCTCCGTCCCGTTGGAAGTTTGACACCTTTAAAATGTAAACATTTAAACATTTTTATTATTCATTTATTGTGTAGTAGGGTAGAGTGAAACAGAAAGAAAATAAATTCCAAATATTATCCATATCTCAAAGTGGTCCGAAGTAGATTAAAGGGAAGTAAAAAGCTCAAAGTCTGTCGACCACATAAATGTATTAGGTTGCAAGCGCTTTCGAGCTAAAAGGTCATCAGGCAAAAAAATTTTTGTAAGTGAGTAGGTACAATGTGCAATAATAATTTAAGGTATAACAAAACGTTTTTTATAGAAATGCTAGGTGTCTTACCACTATGTGTCCACAGAAAAATAAGTATGTTGAATTAAAATGTAAAATTTAAGTAAATTGTAAAATGTAAAAATTGTAAAAAATGGCACACACTGCCTCCTTCATTCGAGGTTGGATCCAGTTCTAGTTTTGAATTTCGCCTGCCTCCATCTGATGAAGGTGGTTTCGAATAAGATAAATTTTGAAGTTCCACATGTGTGCTTAAGGCACCATGTGGAAAGTGTTACTTTTTGAAAAGGTGAAATACAGCTACTCCCCCTATCCCCATTACAAAAGGGGTAGACGAAGCCCCGCCCGTGTACACTCTTAAGCCTAAGCTTAAGGGGTATCATTAAATATTAACTTTTTTGGAAAAATTCATTTATGACACTTTCGTCATCCAACGGTGAAGTTAAATGAGAAAATGGTGGAGATTTACGACATTTGACAACTGACATATGATGGAAGACACGTAGTTACAATGATGGTTGAGCTAATAATAATTAAATTTGACATTAGTTAAATTGAATATGTTAAATTAGTTTTGTGACAAATTTTATAATATAAATTTAAACAATTTGACTTTGGTGTCTTGACAGGATGTCCAAGACTTTGGAGAGGCCACAAATAAGCTCTGCTGGTGTTATGAAGTTTGAGTGACATTTGATTTTTAAAAAAAGAAGAATTTGACATTAGATTGAGGTTAAGGAAATTTATAATAAATATGAATTTTTTTAAAAAAGGGGGCTATTATATATATTATTACAAGTAAAAAGTTAAAGGATTTAGGAAACTTGTAAGGATGATAGGATTCATTGTAGTTGTTGAATTGAAAATATTAGAAGGTTAATCTGGAAAAGATAGGCTTATATGTAGGTTGTAATTGATCATTTAAACAAACCACATCTGGGTTATTAATATGTTGATGAATGTAGTACATTTCAAGTAAGTCCAGCTTAATGCCTTTGGGGCATTGGATAAGAAGAGAGGCGTTATTTGGAAAAGTGAAGTTAGTTTAGTATAGAGAACATGGCTATCAACAGATATAAATCCTCGAATATTTCAGTTACCAATTCCACATTTGCTAATCAAACTTAATGTTAAGCTAGCACAATATTTAATTACAAAAAAACTATAAATGCACAAAAATCGTGAATAGCGCACAAAAATTGCACATAATTCGCACAAAATTATAGATAAGGTTTTGATTGATTGTGCTAAGATCGTTGTGCTAACTTTACATACCTGGCTATTTTTATTTTGTTTTTAAAATGTCTTGTTTTTAAAATAACAACTTGATTTCTTTCTTAATTCGTTCCCTACCTCCAACCCACGGTTTGTCGACACTAGGGTGGCCTCATCTTAGTTGCTAAGGACGGAATGACGTCACCGAATGAAAAACGAATTTACAGAAAATATTCTACTTAGATTCGTACATTTGGTTTTAAAAAAATCTAATATTTTAATGTTATTTAGTGATGTTTTATAATATCGACAATTTGATTTTTTGAAAGACGAGTTAGAAAATAGCAAAGAAAAATCATGTGATGATTTTCATAAAATTTCAAACGAATTACTTTTTATTTGAATTATAAAGAGAAATATTGTTGTGTCAATGATTTATTTTAAACATTTTTGCGCTTAGGTAACATCTCTCCGTTTGACAAAGGCGTGGATACATATTTAATACTTTATCGAGAAGGTAAGTTTTCCAAATGGATTAGAAAAATTATAATCTATGGTTAGATATTTAGTATACGTTTATTCTGTTGGTTCAACTTTGGTTTAGCTGAAAACAGTTGTCATGGCAAGCGTTCCCATGGCAACAGTTTCTCCATAACTAATTGTAGCTAAAGTGTAAATAAAATCATATATAACTTGGCAACCACGCATTTCCTCACCATGGAATTTGGATTTTTGTTTACACATTTCCATCACAACCATGTCCAACAGTTTCTGCATAACTAATTTCAACTAAACGAAAGTTGATCTATTCTGTTTATACTCTTCATTATTATTGATTGTATTCAAAAATGTTAAAATAACAAATCGTTTTAATTTTTTTTTTGATATCTACAATGGTCTCTGTCTTATATGACATCCTCAGTTAAGCAATCAAATTGGGCTAGTAGCTTGCGTGCTAGCAGCTCGCATGCCAGCAGCAGCTTGCATGCCAGCAGCTTGCATGTGTCAGTAGCTTGCAGTATCAGGATACATTTGCAAATAGAATTGCATGTCAGTAGCTCGTATGTGTCAGTAGCTTAAAGACAGAGGATACGTTTGCCATTTAAAATGTATGCAAGCCTTCAGGAACGCGGTGATTTCGAAAAGGTTCGAAGTTAATTAAAAAGTGTAATATTGCCACTTGCAACAGAATGCGTATGTCAAATAATACAACCTAAACGGAACAGAATTAATATAAGCATTTTCATGTGCTATTCGATTTTTATATCTCCCCACCGATAGATGATGATTAGATATCAACAAAACAAAAAAAAAATAAGCTAGTCGCGATGACGATTACAACTTGCATGCAACTACCGGCATGCTAGTACCTGTCGAATGTGTTCACACATTCAATTTGGCATGCAGTTTGTATTCCCCCATCACCCAACTTGCACATTGCATGCCAAAAAATCAAATCTTGTTCAATCTACTTGTATACAGGCTACTTGCGTGCAAGTTAACAGATAATAGCCGGAGATACACATGCAAGCAAATTGTGCTAGTAGCTTGCATGTGCCAGTAGCTTGCAGACCGAGGATACATTTGCAAGTAAAATCATTGCATGTCAGTAGCTTGAAGACGGAGGATACATTTGCCAGTAGCTTACAAGCCTTCGGGATCGCGGAGATTTCGAATAGGTTAATACAACGTTTCACACTAACCTATCCCAGAATTTTAAAATGTTTTTAGTTTTTAAATTTTCACAAATGGCCTTTCACATAGAAAGGGTTCGAAGCAAATTAAATAGTGTAATATTGTCACTTGCAATAGAATGAGTACGTCAAATAATACAACCTAAACGGAGCAGAAGAAGGAGAACACATATTTGGGTGAAAAATTGGATTAGCAGAAGGGAAACTTATAGAGCAAGTAGTTGTTTGCTTACAAAAATGCGACAGGAAGATATATATGGTTATAGAAACCATTTAAGAATGCTTCTTGAAAACTTTGATGACTTGTTAACCAAAATTGAGGACCAAATTACAAAAAAGATACCTATATGCGAAACGCAATCCCAGCCAGAAGTAAATTGGAAATATTCGTACTCTCTATATCAACGAATAAATTTTATGGTCTTTTCATCTCCCCCACCGAGGCATGATGATACGGTATCAACAGAACGAAAAAAGAAAAAACTTGACGGCGATCACAACTTGCATGCAACTATTAACATGCTAGTCTGCCGTCTGTGTTCACACATTCAATTTGGCATGCAGTTCGTACTCCCCACCATCCAAATTGCACATTGCATGCCAAAAAATCGAATCTTATTCAATCTACCTGTATACAAGCTACTTGCATGCAAGTTAACAGTTACACATGCAAGTAGCTTGAACATTCAAGTAGCTGGCATGCAAGTGTGCAAGCTACGGACATGTGTATTTCCGGCTAATAAAAATATAAACACTACTAAATATTAATAACATATTAGATTTTTTTAAAAACTAATGTTCGAAACACAGCAGAATATTTTTGTCATCTCTATTTTTCATTCTGTGACGTCAAACCCCCGTCCATAGCAACCGGACGAAACCACCGCAATATCTATGAACCGTGCATAGGTAAGGGAAGAATAGAACGGCAACTCAATGTTAAATCATCATACTATGAATTGAGCGCCATCTGACGGTTTGGGGACGCATAATGTAGCTAGACGTCTTACATTGTAAAAGACCATAAATATTAGAAAACGATCATTGGCTGCAAGCCTTATTTAAATACGCACGTTTCGTGTAGAAGCAGAATTAACCAAAGTCCTCAGTCAAGAAAATAAACATTGAGGTTACGTCATTTTCATTTGTTTACAAAAGGGCCGATTCCACCGTTGTGTTAAACTAAGCTTAAATTACTAAACGAAGATTAAAATGACATAGTAATGTAAAAATGTAATTTTAATCCTCGTTTGTAATTTAAACTTCGTTAACACAACGGTGGAATCGGCCCTAAATAATAAAAGCCAAATTTTCTAATTTATTTAATTGTAATACCATTTTTGTGTTATCTTGTTTATTTTAATAGTATTTGTAATTCAAAGTTACAATTATAATGAATGCTAAATGTGGAATTTTATTTACATATCTACTTGAAAAGGCAGATTTAAAAACAAATAATAAATGTCTTAAATATTAACAAAGCACGAATACAAGTTCTAACACTAGCAAAAACCCAAAAAAACACACATAAAAAACCAAGAAGCACACGAAAAACAGATTAAAAACTAATAAAATAAATGTACTTTTCAATTTTCCAATAATATAATTCGCAAAAAATAAAATCTAGTCACCCACAAAGGACAAACGATAAATAACAAATTTTGGTATGTCAAAACAACTGACGTTACAGGAAAAACGAAGAATTATAGTAACGCCCTCTGTGAGATTGGTGCATAGTACTAACAGTGGAATGTGAATGGAATGTGTATATCCAAGTGCGCATACCCTGGAACCGTGACTCCAACCAACCCAGCTGTGCTAAATAAACAACTGGAAACATCTCATTTAGAGTAGTTCCAATATCAATTACAGATGGCGCTGCTATCCCTATTTCAAATGCCAGTTTAGATAAAAATTAATATCAGCAAACAAGAAAAAATTATGGTACTTATTTTAAGTTTAAACTAATTTTAATTTTTTGAAAGGGTGCTAAAATTTCGGGAAAGTGTTAAATAGAAGTATATTTTTTTGGTTGTTTTGGTACACTTGTTAAACTGACAAGTGTTGACACCAAAATTATTTACAAATGTAAAAAAAAATTCATGACTTTTTTCGACAATTTCTTCATTAAGAAATTGATATAATGAAAGAACCGTTTTAAAATATACAAAAAATATATGTAGTCGATAACCTACAAAATTTCATTATAATTCCAGAAAAAAATAAAATATTCTAAACTAACAATATTCGGATAAGACATGTTCGGGTCAATTGTTATTATTTGATCTTTTGTATTTCCAATTAACCTATTTTCCATGTTGATGAAACACCCTGTATACCATAAAAGACTATTGCTTATCCTCTTTCTCTACGCTGATTCTCCTCGTTTTTTCTCATAAATAATATAAATTCTCTTCCGCCTTGTTTAAAAACCGAGCGAAAAAATTAATTTCAGTCCTCAACGTTTTATTTACCACATATTAACTTTATTTTATTGATGTACTGCACTGCTACATAATTAAAAATTTATTCTTCTCTACATTATGATAATTGTACATTTTTTCATTTAAGTTTTTTTTTTTAATTTTAGATCTGATGATGACCACGTTGTGTTTAATTGTTCTTTTTTATTTAGTATAAATTTTAAGTTTTAACCCCATTTGAGACAATCTTTAGTTCAATTACTGTGCTTACGTACCTTTGGCAACGGACGATTCACAGGCAATTGTTGATAATTCGTTCCCAAACGGTGTAAATGAGTGTCAGGATAACTAAATATTCTTCCTTGAAGTAACCTGTCAGGTGAAGGTCCAAAACCTGAACAAAAAGAAACAAAATATAATTACACAAATAGAAACTAATCTTATCTGCAGCAAATAATTTATACAAAAATGTTAAAATATACAAGCAATGCGGTTTATATGTTTGTTAGAGAAATTCTAAAACATGGGTTTATTAGTATACTTCAAATCCAAATCATGGACAAGAGCAATTTGTTTGGCTCCAACAAAATCGAAAGGATAAGGATCATGGGATGTAAAAGGGATCCTAGTGATTGATTACCTTCCAAAGGAACAAATAATAAATGTTTTATATTGTACTATTCTTTTGGAAAAGTTCAATCATTCGAGAAAAAAAGATTAAACGATATATTGTACGAGTGGCATTTAATGAATAAAATTCACCAGAAGATTTTGCTTCTATTTCCAAAACTTTAAATGTTCTTTCATAGGCATGAATGTTTTTCCGAGTTGGATCATTTTAGCGGGTATTTACAATCATTAAAGACCTTTCAACCTCCCACATAAAATATAGAAAGATATAGTATCCTTAGTAAGAAAGTTATGTGTCCTCCCTTTGGGGAAATAATATCGCTTTACATCCTTAAATTAGGGAGGATAAGTAGGGTCAGATTACAATTAGAAGAACACCGCTACGTCATAACCATTACTTCGAATTTCGAATACATATTATCTATAACTATGATTAATTAAAAAATAAGTAGTTTGTTAGGTATAAAACAATATTTCCTATATTCCTACAATATTAACACTCCACTAAATCACCAGTAGGCGGCGATAACCAATTAATTACTTTGCCAAATGATGACGTAGCTGTGTTCTTCTAATTGAAATCGGACCCTACATTTTCAAACTTAACACAGCGAAATAATTCTGAAGAGAAGTTGGTGACTCATTATTTGAATGTATAGAATCCAACGCAATTTTTTTTTTTTTTTTTTAGAATCGAGCAAATTGTATTAACTGGTTAGTTCTAGAACATTGTCTATTCACTTAATTGTCACACAGAAAACATGTTCAATCTAACTTCAATCTAACAGAAACTGAGCAGGACCATTATTAGCCTACTCTTCCCCGATTAAATTGTTTGAGTTAGTCGTAAACAATTTGATCAAATTAAACTTTATCTCGCGCAATTAAAATACTTGCCAGGTGTAAAATTGCTGGGGCTGAACGCCAATTGTTCAACTTCGGCGAAAAAGTTGGATGGGTTTTTGTTCAAGACGAATTTTCCGACTTGTTGCAGCGGGAATTGGGCGTGCGGCCAAACTTTGGTTATATCGAACGGATTGAATTTGACTTGCTTGGCCTGATCTGGGGTCATCGTTTGAATGTAGAACGTCCATGACGGGTATTTGCCTGTTGATTTCCCGTCTTCGATGGCGTTATAGAGGTCGCGCACGGCGTAGTCCGGATCTTGGCCGGCCAGAAGTTCTGCTTGTTTCGCATCTAAATTCTTGATTCCTGTAATATAGATATTAGACTAGTCAATAAAGACATTCTATTTTGAACATTTCACATTAATTACAAACGTTTTTAAACTTTACAATAAATCGGCTAGTTTAAATAACACTAGTTTAAATTTGCAACCATTTCCAAGGTCCGGAAATAGTTAATTTATATCAAAATGGCACTTTTGTTTATAATGTTGAGAAAAAAGTGCTTGAAGCAATATACAGGGTGTTTTTTTAATATTGCGAAAATATTCAGAGGCGTGTGCCTTGGACGAAATGAAGCAAAGAAGTTCCTATGAACATATGTCATACGCCTCTTAGATTTTGAACTACAGGGTGGTAAAGTTATAAGAAAAAACTTATTTTTTGCGATATATTTAATACCCCTGTAGATATTTTTCTGAAAATTGGTACGCAGTTTCTATGCATCCAAAGCCATTTTCCGATACACAATTTAAACTTTTACATTCGCTATTGGCGTTGAACTGAATATTTCTTAAAAAAAAAAAAAAACAGTACGCCACTGCTCTTTCTTGTAATAAAAAACATTTTTGAAATCTTTATTTCTTTTATAGCATATCTGGTATCTTGGTCTTTTTTCGCTTGATGCATGGTTTTCGCATAAAAAAATAAAAACCATTTTCCTGCAATGCCATATCGTTAAAATTTAATTTTTTAATTTAATAGTAATTACTGTATTTTTTATTTAGAGAAAAATAATGCATTGCAATTAAACATCCTTGAGTTTGAGAGAAGCATTTTTTCCGGTAAAAAATTGAAACATGCCTCTCTGGTAAACATTAAAAATAATGTTTTTCATTTAAAACATTTAAGTACATACTTCACGGTCTAAGTGCGGTCTATCTTTTTACCATATTCTTCTCTTCTCCAAAAATAATAAAGTATTTGTTTGCCACCAGTTTTTAGTATAATCATTATTTTCATCAATTGTCAGTTGACATTGGCATCAGTCAAATTATTCAACGTCGCTGTCAACCAAAGCTGTCATAATTTAAATCATGTTTTGTTTTTGTAAATTTATTTGATTAAAACAGTTTCATAATACCTTAATTTTTATTGTTCAATTTTGTGAAAATCAAAAAATATTTCAATTTTGTTTGAAATAGAATCAACTGTCTCAAAGTTTCAAATGATTTATTTCTTTGGTGACAAAATACCGTTTTCCATTTTTGTTTTATCAATAAATATTCTGTATCGGCGGTTGTACCACAGCTTAACAATACAGCTAAAACACTCTCTTGGCGGCAACGGTTTGCGTCGATTTGGTCGCGCATCGCTTAAGCTCCGCCTTCGAAGGGAAAAGACGGTTTTGGCGTTCAGAAGTGTACTTAGGTAAGGTGTTGAGTCGTGCGTATAATTTCGTTGATTGTATAATTTCGTGGAGCCTATAATTTCGTAGATTTTGTTTTAGTTAAAGGTACTGTTATTATTTTGGTGACTCTTTAGCTGTGAGTAGAATGAATGAAAAAAAAGACATCATTCTGTTTGTGCAGTCAAAAGCTGTTTTAATAAGGGTTATACCTGCAAGAAAACATTCTTTAGTTTTCCCAAGGACCCAAACCGATAAGTACCACATTATAAGAAATTTTCATTGTTAAAAATATAATTTATACAGGGTGTCCCATTAGTGCGTTATTGTTCATTATTTTGTTGTAGACACGCAAGAAAGTTTTAAATAAAAGTTATATGGATTTGAAAAATACCTACATATTTTAAAAATATGTTTGGATATACAGGGTGTCACGTTTTTGCCTGGCAAATTAAAATGTATGTTTTTTAAATGGAACACCTTGTATTTTATTTTATGATGAAATTATTAACACCCTAAATTATTGTAAAGACGAATTGCTACAGAAAATTTTTATCAGGTATGTGTGTGGTTACCTTTTAATAAAAGCCTTGCGGATCCACTCCTGCGATACCTGTCTTAAATATAACAAAGATCACGTTGAAATAGATGATTTTTCTTTTTATTGCTTTTTAAAGGCATATGATAACGCCAATTCAGATACATTTGGAAATCTGCAACTGTCAAATGATGAATTTGTAGAACTAATATTCAATATTGAAAAGATATTTCAAAATAATTTTGAAGAATTGGCTACAAAAAATAACATTTGTACCACACGTTTAGAATTAATTAACCCAATACCCTTTAGTCATCCATGCTAACGTTTTCCAAAAGAATAACTTATTTTATTGTATGTTTAATCTCAATAACTAAAAAATATACTGACAATTAGTTTGACAGAATTGTCATTTATTTAAAATTTTAAAAATAATAGCAGTCGGTTGATCAAAATATGAACGGTGATTGGCGAATTTATTTTTTTTGCAGTGTTCTCACTACCTAGAATGGATATGAAATATATTCGTTCAATTGAAGTCAATAGCATACTTTTTCGTTTTGTAATCTGTGCATGGATATTAGCCAATCTACGCACATACTACAAAACGAAAAAAGTATGTTATTGTGTTCAACTACGAATATATTTCATATCCATTTTAGGTAGTAAGAACACTTTAACAAAATTAAATCTACAAATCACAGTTCATATTTTGGTCACCCCACTCCTATTATTTAAATTTTTTTAAATAAGTGACAATTCTGTTAAACTAATTGTCAATATATATTTTAGTTATTGATATTAAATATACATTAAAATTTTTGTGCAGACTCGATAAATAATAGCATTTTTGTTTCTATTGTGTCCACATTTAAAAAAAATAAATTTTAATTAAACTACATGATACTAATTTAATTACGAATATTAAAACTAAAGTCCTGAAAGTTTCGGTGAAGATGAAGACAGAGCATCTGCCTTCCACGCGAAAAGTCCGGGATCGAATCTAGGCCGAGGACTAATTAATTTTTCATGTTTATTTTATTTTATAAATTAGTCAACTTCGTAAATTATTTTAAAATTAGTTATTTTGTCTAAATAACCTAAAATTATTTTTTAAATTTGTAGATTTTCGTTAGTGGGTCGTAGAAAAAATATACTGACCATATCGAGTAGATTGTTCATATCACAATCAGACGATTGAGTTATCCGCCTACGACGTCGTGCTCAAACTTCGTCTTTGTGTGATATGGCTATCATATCCACCCTTGTTGAACAAACTACAATTTATTTGTTTTCTTGGTTTAAGTTTTACATCAGAAATAGGAATTAAATTAATTTACTTTTCAAGTTTTCTTGTAAAAATCGATATTACTTTCTCCAAGTACAAATTTAGTACCTACCTAAAATAAGTACTAATTATGTTATATCTTGTAATATTGTAATTCAAATTTCACATTACTATAAAGTTTTAAAATTTCCTACTTCGGTATGGTCAGATAAAAATTGAATATATTATAATAATAAAAACTGTCAAAGTATAACTTCTACAAATCTGTATTTCAAATAATAAGAATACATCTAAATATAACCAATATTGTTAAAACAAAAGCACACATTCTTTATAATTCCAAAATACCATAGAGTTCCCAGACCTCAGTCGAAGCATTCGTTTATCTAGGTATAAACCCTTTGCGCGAAGAGTAACACTTGCCAGAGACACGGGGGTACCACTTGATTTGCATCCACGAGCGTGACACAATTCTTTAACAATTGAAGCCCTTGGTGTAAAATGGATCCAAGCCACAATTTGTCGTGAAGTGACTGTTTTAGCTCAAAACATTTGTTAACGAGGATTTTACTAGCCATATATAAATTATTTTACCTCTAATCCGAAAGATGTGCTATTTTTCGTAATATTTATATTTAAATAATTTTTTTAATTATATTTGAAAGATTTAAAACAAATTAAAAATGTAATTTCCCAAAACTTACTTAATATGGCATGTGACCAACCTTATTACGCCAAGGTTTTCAATTTTTTCAATAATAAAAAAATTGTTTAATCCGGGCCCGACTTTTCCCTTGAATCTAACAGAGATAGCACCATTCCGTCTTGCTTGGTTCTCGACCGCCAGATCAAAGACGCCGACACGGAGTTGTGGAGCTGTATTGTATAAGCTGTGGTTGTACTATGGGCACCAAACTGGCCCATCTACCTGCTACTCTACAAGGGTTCGCTAATCTCGTATACATTATGGGCAACAGCATTAAACGTCTAGGAAGTTTATTATTATTGTACTTATTGGCGAATTATCTGTTAATAGAATGTTAAGAGCACGTAGAATTGGGGATTACGAAGTTAGTGTTTTCGTATTCCATACAATGGTAGGGATAACTACCACTTTACTTGAAAATTATTATCACAATATTAGACGGTTAATTCATTCATTCATACACTTTTCGTGTACTGTTTCTTTTGTTACGATCGGGAACGATTTCCAAAACTTCTTTTTCCAATCTTTAAATCGGTTAAAGTACATTTGCCTATCTGAATATTTCATCAGAGATATGGATATATTCACAGTGCAAAGTACTTAGGGAAATGGTGGTGTGTTACTTATTGTAAACAAGTTTAAGTTTTCGCGGCATAAAACTTTAAAAAGTGGTGAAATTTTTTGGCGTTGCTCAAAAAAAAATATTAAATGTCCGGCAAAGGTGTTCACGATTGGTTCAGAAAACTTGCTAACTAGGAGTTTCCTAATTCACAACCATGAATCGGATGAAAATAAATTAACCGGCTTTTAATATCGAATTCATGTAAACGAAAGGCGGAAAAAGACATTTCAGAAAGGCCATCAAAAATTATTCGACGTGAATTGGAAAAAAATTTGCCAGAAACGGTCACCACATTGGACGTTAATTGTATTAGAAGAAAAGTTCTTGTTTCTAAATAGCACAGAAAATAACATTATAGTTTTTTCTTGTGAAACAAACGTTAGAAATTTGTGTGAAATGAGCCACATATATATGGACGGCTAAGTATTTTTTGCAATTATTCACAGACTGAAAAACGGGCATTACATCCCGTTGGTGTACTGTCTTTTGCCAGATAAACGCCGTGAAACATATGTAAAACTATTTA